GTTTAGGGATATGATACAAGGTACTAAAAAATAGAGCTATTGAAAAACTGGCTTAAAAAGAAAAAAATCAATCCCAATGTATCACCCCTATCCCTGGTATATCAGAGACACACGTCTTGGTGATACTATGTCCTATAAGGCTGAATCTCAGACTCTGTACTCACACATAGGACAAAATAGTTGGAAACATCCAAAGTGTCTCTGTAGTGGTTATAGTATGGTTCCAATAAGTGATTGAGTCATAGATGCAATATAGTTGACAGGTACACACTTTCAACCTGGGGTGGTGTAGTTAATGCAGGTGAAATAGTTGGTCTTCCAAGGGGTCCAGAATGATCTCCACCTTGCGGAGCCTGCAAAGTGGCTGGGATGGGATCAGGAGATTTGCTCACATATTCGACAGCTGGAGAGCTCACAGCAGACTCTGAGGCTCATTCCATCATGGCCTCCTCGTGAGACGCAAAATAAGATTGGGTCACTGTTAGCTAGTGTTCTGGCACTTTTAGCAATTGCTTTCATGCCTGTAACTTTAGGAGACATAGGTTGGGGGCCAGAATGGCCAGCCTGAGCAGTCAGAGGAAGGTCCATAGAGGGGGCAGGGTGTACCTGGAGAAATGGCTTGGGAAAGCCCCCAGGGTAGACATAATGACTTTAGATAGGGAGAGCTGAAAAGTGGCAGCAAATTCCTCAGGAGCAAGAGGGGATCCCAGGGGAGGAGGGATGATCAGAGACCTCCAATTCCTACTAGTTACAGGGTGAGTGGGAGGGGAGGTATGGGGGACACAACCAGACTGTGGCACGATGAAGCCAGAGAAAAGGCTGCAGCAGATATAACATAGTAGGCAACAGGCCTGCATGCAGCATAGCACATGGGAGCTCACAGCACGGAGAAGCATGCAAGAAAAGGAGTTGTGGCCTAATCAAAATAGGCTAAATAAAGCCTAAAGGGGAAAATGTGAAATAGCAAAAGGTACAGAGAAATAAATTAAAAACCCAGAAGGGCACAAAACATAAAGGTTGAGAGAAACATACATGTACATACATAGTATACACAGAAAAAGCACAGGGAGGTCATCTGTACTTAACTTGCATTCAAGGGAGCAGCAATGAAAGAGGAAGTTGGGGTTTTTGTTAAGGGTGATATAGGGATGGCTAGTCATGAGAGGTGGATTTTAGGAGGTCACATACAGGCATCCTTTCTTTCCTATTCTTTTCTTTGCTGTTGGTTTTTAGGTAAAGAAAAAGCTAAGTACAATATGAGCCTCTATATCGTGAAAGAAAATTACAGTTTTGGTCCCAAAATAGGCATCACTAGTCATTTTCTTAAACGTGACAAGATGTTTATTTTATTGGAAAGGAAGAAAATCTGATTTCTTCTCTCGCTACGTATGTTAAGAAAGCCTTGAAAGGATTAGTTGGGATTTTCTAACCATAGGCATTGGCCCACATATTCTTTACTTAAAGGGACACTCCAGGCAGCCCTTTTTATGCACCTCATTCCAGTGCCAGGAGCCTCGTGAACCCGCTCCCCCTATTTCGCCAAAATGACGAAATACGCAGGCGCGAGCAGGGAGCAATTAGACGCTTCCATTCGGAAGCGTCATTGCTCCCTTGGGTGCATGCGCGGCTTCGCCATACATGTGCACATACTTCATAGGGCGGCATTTGTGCCGCCCTATGAAGTCCTGAGCGCACTACCGCGCATGCGCGTGTTGTGCGCGGCCGCGAGCTGAGTGACAGCTCAGCTCGCGGTCTTTGTCCGCCCCCTCTCCTCTGCTGACAGTGCCTTTTCTCTCCTGCACACGTGCCGGCCACTGGAGGTATTCCTATCAATCAATGTAAACACTGTATTTTCTCTGTATTTTCTCTGAAAATACAGTGTTTACATTAGATTGCCTGCAGGGAGCTATAGATCTCACCTGAACAACTACATTAAGCTGTAGTTGTTCAGGTGACTATAGTGTCCCTTTAATTTAAGTAGGATTTGCATCAACTATGCCTTCAGTGCTGCTTTCTATCTTTGCCCTTGAGCCCTTGATAAATACCATCAGGAAATATTCAGTAATTAAAGCTAGTCGAAACGAATGTTCAATTTCCAACATCATGTAAGAATTCTACCACTTTGTTGCATTTTTTAACCTTAAGATTAATTTCTCTAATAGAACATCTTTTACTTACCAAATAAAAGGTTCAGACGCAATTCATTGCCGAATTTCTTCCATAGGTCGATTCGGCTCGGCAGAATTTCAGTAACAAAAAAATAGATTTGGTGAAACAAATCAGATGAACCAAAAGCAAAGGAAAAATGGACAAATCGGTGTACTGCAAAATAAATACATATATAAATATTATGTATGGATTCTGTAGTACACTGATGGGAGAATGTTCCCACCATTTCACAGATTAAGTGATAAAAAAATAGCCAATAGAGGGAAAAACAGAGGAAACTGTAAAAATAATATATATATATATATATATATATATATTTATATATTTGATATAATATGTAATAACTATATAATATAATGAACCTATATTAAATATATAGGTTCCTCCCAAGGTAGAACCTAAGCATAAATGGAAATATGGGCTCACTTGCTGATTGCCATACTTCAGATTTTCTACAAATATACACCATAGAACCATTAACCAGTAATTAAACTTACCCCATACCTACACCGAGATAAAATCCCCAGACTTTCTAGGTAGTGAAAGACTGCACTTTATTCTTTTTTAGACGGTCTCTGCACCAATGTATCTACTAAAGTCTCAATATGACAGCATATTACAATGCTGCAGTATTGAGGTCTTAAAGTATTACTATTTTTGTATTATATTAAAAGTGTTACAGTTTGTGCATAATAGTTATAATTCACAGATTAACTGCATTAATTCTAGGTTCAGTGGCGTACACACAATCCACGGGGCGGGCACCTGGTCGTAGGGGTCTGCAGCATGGGCGTCCGCGGGGGGGAGATTTTTCAGCTTGTGCTGCTATTTTTTCCTTGTGTGAGAATACACTGCAATACCGGCGCCGACCAGTAGGTGAATGTTGAAAGTGCTGTGAATGTTGAAAGTCAGGAAGCTACAGCTTGTCCCTGCCTCTCGCTCATGACTGAAACCGCAGGGGAGCAGCACAGAGGCCGCCTACAGATCAGGCAAGTGAGGGATGGGGGGGGGAGACAGCCTAGAGGAAGGTAAAGTAGAAGAAGCAGAAATTAGCAGAAAGGTTCTGCAAGGGGCAGAAGGGGTCAGCAAGGAATAGAAAGGGGCAGCAAAAAGCAGGAAGGGGTAGGAAAGGTTTGCAAGGAGCAGGAGGGTAAAGTAGAAGCAGCAGAAATTAACAGGAAGGGGCAGCAAGGAGCAGAAGGCGTCAGCAAGGAGTAGGAAGGGGCAGCAGGAAGGGGTAGGGATGGTCTGCAAGGAGCAGGAGGGATCCACCAAGGATTAGGAAGAGGCAGCAAGGAGCAGGAAGGGTCTGCAAGGAGCAGGAGGGGTCACCAAGGAGTAGGAAGAGTCTGCAAGGAGCAGGAGGGGTCAGCAAGGAGTAAGAAGAAGCAGCAAGAACCAGGAAGGGTCTTCAAGGAGCAGGAGAGGTCAGCAAGGAGTAGGAAGGGTCTGCAAGGAGCAAAAGGGGTCAGTGTGACGAGACCAATCTCGCCACATTGCATTGGAGGAGCCTGGTTGCCTCCCTGCTGCCTTTGGATTATGGACCGGCAGCTAAAGGGTTAATTTTACTGTGCAGAAAGATTTATTTCTCCCTTTCTGCACAGCCGTTTCAAACAGTTTCTTTTCAGTCTCCCCAGAGCCGACCTTAATTGGCCACCCAGAAGCTGGAGTGCGCCCTCCATTTACCTCCCTGAAGCCGTGGTTAACCACGGCTTAACGAGCGTGTGCCGGCAATTGACCACCCAGTAGCTGCGGTTAACCGCAGCTTAATTGATTGTTACTGGGTGGTCGCGGTTACACTTAGCCGCCACACGATGGCAGTGTTCTGGAGCTCCCCGGGCAGCCAGCGCTTTTCTGCCCGGTTTTCCTGCACCAAACCCGGACACTTTTACGTGCAGGCACCGCTGAACCTCCAACCCCTGGTTCTAATTCGTACGGATTTAACGAATGCATGTAAATTCGGTATTTTGTGTTGGAGGAATGTTTTAACCCAGATAGCTATTCCATGGAGCCTGTTCGTGGAATTAAAGACTTTGGCTCCATGGCAATTAAACTGTATTCGTGTGGTCTGAGTGCCATTCACCTAATAATGTGCACTCAGACCTGAGCTATCTGGGGATATGTTACATGTATATACTTACTGTACCATTTGTCCCATTATGTATTTTAAAGTGATAGTCTGTCTTTGTGTCCCCACATGTGTAATGGAGTTTTGCCTTTGTCCTGGGAGATAATTGAATTACTTCTCCAGGGCAGAGGGGAGGAAGCCAGGATGCATTGTGGGGATGTTTTACTTCTGTATGTCTGTAATTGGTACATGTCTGTCTTTTGTTACAGTCTTCCATCTGGTCCCCTAGGGGAGTGTCCACCAGGTGGGAGACCTGCATAAATACTGGGCAGGTAGCCCTCATTAAACAGACCACTGTTTGACCCTCAACACAGAGCCTTGTCTCGTTCTTGGGGGGATTCACTGTATGCTGTTAGAGACTGATTGCCAGGAGTGTAAGCGGATTGTCTACTTTTCCTGTTCGTCTGCTAGCAGCTATTTGGGAGGTTCCAGTTAAGGAGTTGGAGTGCTATTTTGTATCCAGTTTGGGAGCTTCGTGTTCTCCAGTAGCTGTGCCTGCATCACTGGAAAGGGGGACGATCGCCTAAACGGTTTTTACCCCTTGTGTGCTGAAACGGTCCGTTACAATTGGTGGCAAGCGGCGGGATCGTTCCTACAGCCAGAAGGACAGCTACATGAGACACCATTTCTTTGGATTTACAAGTTAAGGGCAACGCATGTCCTAGTACAGCGACCCTGACAGCACCAGGATGGAACCAGCAGTGGAGTACAGCTACTCTATGAGAAAGTATGACCGGATGGTGTGGTTTCACCTAAGCTTCTTCGGATCCAACCCACTGGAGAGATCGGTGCGGTTCGTGAGGAACCTAGTGTTCGAGAGGCTGCAACAACGGGCAGAAAGAGAAGGTCAGTTGGCACGTTGGGAGAAACTCCAGCGGCAGATGCAGCAGGGAATTGGGAGCCCAGTCTCCACTCCCCAGCGGCAGTGTGATATGCCGGGAATTGGGAGCCCAGTCTCCATTCCCCAGCGGCAGTGTAAAGTGCAGGGAGAGGAGAGCAGCGTCCTCCCTCCCCAGTGGCAGGCTGAGTTACAGGGGGCAGAGGTAGTTGTTCCTGCCCTCCAGCAGCAGAGTGATATGCCGGGAAGGCAGTGTAAAGTGCAGGGAGAGGAGAGCAGCGTCCTCCCTCCCCAGCGGCAGGCTGAGTTACAGGGGGCAGAGGTAGTTGTTCCTGCCCCCCAGCAGCAGAGTGATATGCCGGGAAGGCAGTGTGAAGTGCAGGGAGAGGAGAGCAGTGTCCTCCCTCCCCAGCGACAGGCTGAGTTACAGGGGGCAGAGGTAGTTGTTCCTGCCCCCCAGCAGCCAAGTGATATGCCAGGAAGGCAGTGTGAAGTCCAGGGAGAGGAGAGCAGTGTCCTCCCTCCCCAGCGGCAGCGTGATTTTTTGGGAATTGGGAGTCCAGTCTCCATTCCCCAGCGGCAGTGTGATGTGCCGGGAATTGGGAGCCCAGTCTCCATTCCCCAGCGGCAGTGTTATTTGTTGGGAATTGGGAGCCCAGTCTCCAGTCCCCACGGCTGGAAGTATGTATGGGAGAGGAGCTTGTTACCCCCTCTCCCCAGCGGCAGCTTAATGTACCAGGGGGAGACAGTAAGCCCCACAACTGTGCAGAAGGGACCGTGGTCTCTGCACATACAGCACAGGGGGTAGGGACGGTCGGTTCTGCCCCCCAGTGACAGGGCTGTTTAGCCAAAGGGGAGACAGTCGGTCTCCAGCAGCAGAGCTGTGTGTCCAAAGGGGAAACAGTCGGTCTCCAGCAGCAGAGCTGTGTATCTAAAGGGGAGACAGTCGGTCTCCAGCAGCAGAGCTGTGTGTCCAAAGGGGAGACAGTCGGTCTCCAGCAGCAGAGCTGTGTATCTAAAGGGGAGACAGTCGGTCTCCCCCTCCAACAACCAGGCTTCAACCAGGCTACCCTCCCAGTAGCGCTGGCAACAGGGCAGAGTACCGCTGGTCTCTGCACACGCAGCAACCCACCAAGACAGCCGTGGTGAGGCACCTGGATATGGACAAGCTTCTCCTCTACCCAGGTGTAGTAACCATTTATTGTGGGTGGGCTGTGCTGTTGATTCTGTTTTGTGGGTGGGCTGCTGGACTAACAAGGGCACTGACCGGCAGGAGGTCAGATACCCTGTTAGTCTGTTTGGAAAAGGGGAGAGATGTGACGAGACCAATCTCGCCACATTGCATTGGAGAAGCCTGGTTGCTCGCCTGTTGCCTTTGGATTATGGCCCCATGTTAAAAGGCTTGATTTTCCCCTGCAAAGACAAGAAAGCCGGGTCAGAAATTAGCAGGAAGGGGCAGCAAGGAGCAGAGGGGGTCAGCAAGGAGTAGGAAGGGGCAGCAGGAAGGGGTAGGGATAGTCTGCGAGGAGCAGGAGGGGTCACCAAGGAGTAGGAAGAGGCAGCAAGGAGCAGGGAGGGTCTGCAAGGAGCAGGAGGGGTCAGCAAGGAATAGAAAGGGGCAGCAAGAAGCAGGGAGGGGTAGGAAAGGTTTGCAAGGAGCAGGAGGGTAAAGTAGAAGGAGCAGAAATTAGCAGGAAGGGTCAGCAAGGAGCAGAAGGGGTCAGCAAGGAGTAGGAAGGGGCAGCAGGAAGGGGTAGGGATGGTCTGCAAGGAGCAGGAGGGGTCACCAAGGTGCAGGAGGGGTCAGCAAGGAATAGGAAGAAGCAGCAAGAACCAGGAAGGGTCTTCAAGGAGCAGGAGAGGTCAGCAAGGAGTAGGAAGGGTCTGCAAGGAGCAAAAGGGGTCAGCAAGGAGTAGGAAGAGGCATCAAGAAGCAGGAACAGTCTGCAAGGGGCAGCAAGGAGAAGGAAGGGGCAGCAAGGAGTTGGAAGGGGCAGAAAGGAGCAGGAGGGGTCAGCAAGGAGTAGAAAGGATATGCAAGGGGCAGGAGGGGTCAGCAAGGAAAAGAAAGGGGCAGCAAGAAGCAGGAAGGGGTAGGAAAGGTTTGCAAGGAGCAAGAGGGTAAAGTAGAAGGATCAGAAATTAGCAGGAAGGGGCAGCAAGGAGCAGAAGGGGTCAGCAAGGAGTAGGAAGGGGCAGCAGGAAGGGGTAGGGATGGTCTGCGAGGAGCAGGAGGGGTCACCAAGGAGTAGAAGAGGCAGCAAGGGAGCAGGGGAGGTCTGCAAAAAAGGAGCAGGAGGGGTCAGCAAGGAATAGAAAGGGGCAGCAAGAAGCAGGGAGGGGTAGGAAAGGTTTGCAAGGAGCAGGAGGGTAAAGTAGAAGGAGCAGAAATTAGCAGGAAGCGGCAGCAAGGAGCAGAAGGGGTCAGCAAGGAGTAGGAAGGGACAGCAGGAAGGGGTAGGGATGGTCTGCAAGGAGCAGGAGGGGTCACCAAGGAGCAGGAGGGGTCACCAAGGAGTAGGAAGGGTCTGCAAGGAGCCGGAGGGGTCACCAAGGAGTAGGAAAGGTCTGCAAGGAGCAAGAGGGGTCAGCAAGGAGTAGGTAGAGGCAGCAAGGAGCAGGAAGGGTCTTCAAGGAGCAGGAGGGGTCAGCAAGGAGTAGGAATGGTCTGCAAGGAGCAAGAGGGGTCAGCAAGGAGTAGGAAGAGGCAGCAAGAAGCAAGAACGGTCTGCAAGGAGCAGGAAGGGGCAGCAAGGAGAAAGAAGGGGCAGAAAGGAGCAGGAGTAGTCAGCAAGGAGCAGGAAGGGTCAGCAAGGAGTAGGAAGGGTCTGCAAGGGGCAGGAGGGATCAGCAAGGAGTAGGAAGGGGCTGCAGGAAGGGGTAGGGATGGTCTGCAAGGAGCAGGAGCGGTCATTAAAGAGTAGGAAGGGTCTGCAAGGAGCAAGAGGGGTCAGCAAGGAGTAGGAAGAGGCAGCAAGGAGCAGGAAGGGTCTGCAAGGAGCAGGAGGGGTTAGCAAGGAGTAGGAATGATCTGCAAGAAGCAGAAAAGGATCAGAAAGAGAAAGGAGCAGAAGGGCGCAAAATAAGCAGAAAGTAGCAGAAAGGTAAAGGAGCAGAAGGAGCCTCAGAAGTAAAAGAAGACTGTGTCAAATGAAGGAGAAGAAAATGAGATTGGAGCACTTCATTCTGGACACCACATCATAAGGCGTTAGTACCTGGGCCTGGCATGGAAACTTTGGACCTTCTCATCTCCCTAGGTAAAAAAAATATCAGTGTTAATGTGTTCACTTTTATTTACTGAGTATCAGGAAACACAGAGGGCCGCTGGGTAGGGGTGCCGCTGATTGGCTAGCGGGTCAGCTGGCACTCTTAGCCAATCAGTAGCTCCGCATTCATAAAAACGTAAAACATTTTATGGATCGGGAACTAGCGATTGGCTTAGAGCGTCAGCTGACCACTCTAGCCAATCAGCAGCACCCATGCCTGACGTTAATCTGCACTTCCTGACACTCCGTTTAAGAAGCCGAATACCACTGAGCGACCTGGAGATCTGGAGCTGGAGGAAGCCTTTGGGGGTAAACCATTTGAGAGCGGTTTCACCCCTTAAAGGAAAGAGAGCGCCCAGGGGCCTCCTTGCATCATAGCGTTTTCATTTAGATTAAGTTGTTATGGTGACCAGAATGTTCCTTTAATGTGATTAAAGGAACACTATAGTGTCAGAATTACAAACATATATTCCTGACACCAGGTAGATGTGAAAACGCTATTCACCCTGGCTTTATGTGAAAATGACTATGCTTTTTCCCTTTCATGACTGTCAAAAAGAGGCCAAGCATGGATGTCATTACAATTGCCCCCGCGCCCCCTCTGGAAAAATTCCTGCGGACACCAATGGTCTGCAGGGCTGCCGGGCCCCCTGGAGTGACAGGCCTGGTAGCAGCTGTGACCCCTGCAACCCCTATGTACACCACTGTCTAGGCTCTATGTACACCACTGTCTAGGCTCTATAACTGATCTAAATGAACATACAGTTTGTTCAGCATCCTGATTATAATATTGTCACTTTCTATTTCTTCATTTCAAGGGGGAGTGGTGCAATTAGAGCAGGTAAAGTTATACATGTGGCTGCAATAATGTTAGGAGGAGATACAATGGGTTCTGGGTTTTTGTCAACTGCCGTCATAGTTCCAGCTATATGGACAAAAAAGTAGCCGAAAATAGATCTATCGCACAATTATAAGGACAATGTGGAGGTTGTCTCTCAGACTTTTTTTGTCTATGCTTCCCATAAGCCAGCATACTGTGAAGGTATGAAAGTGGACAAAGGAGCAGCTGTAGGCATGTGTTTTTAGCATGTACAGGACGTACTGGTGTAAGGCTCCCTTTTCCCCATGAATTGATCTGATATTTCCCAATCTATTACAGGGTTATGTTTAACCAATCAAGGAAAACCCAGGACAATAGGTCAATTATTTCTTATATTACTTTTGTAAGGCTTCTATGGACGTAAGTAACTCCTGTTATCTCATGAGTAATTTGTGGTTTAAATAATGGTCTACCAGCTATGGCCTCATCGGCTTGTATTAAAGGCAAAGCAGAAAAACTGCAAAATCATGATCTATGAAGTTTTGTGCTTCTCCCGAATCAATTAAGGCAATGGTAGATATAGTGATTTCAATGACTTACATGATGACAGGTAACACCAGTCTATTAGTTAATGTATTAGGAGACAAAGGAGACATTAGTCTGTTTAGGTTTTTCCACAGAGCTAGGACAATCTTTTCTCAAATGTCCTCTAGCCTACAGTATAAGCATAAACCCTTCTTTATCCCCTTATCCTAGAGTTGGAGTTGTGGACTGCCGAGAAATGTGTGTAGGGGGAGAAATGCCAAACAAATGCCGAGACACTGACATACAGCATTGTGGGGGTAGAAGCGTATGGCTTCCTCCTGATGTGAGCAACTTCCCTTCAGTTGGCCTAATAAAGTGCGGTCAAGTAATGTATGAGGACTCTTCTCATAGTCGTGTGAGGTATGAGGCAGTATGAGCTCCCACTAGTACCGTTCTTTGACAGAATGCCTTAATGGAGGCGTTCTAACATTATGGGCTATGTATGTTTCACGCATTGCAGGGATGAACGCATTGTTAAGCAACCATTGGCTCCACATCTATTTAACTATATACAATCAACATCAATTCACAACATATGATAGTTTGCCCGCTAGATCCCAGGCTGTCCCGCTGCTTGTCTATCGCCCCCCCAATACCTCCCCCAGTATCCCAGTATAGGTAGCGCTGACCAGTGTTGGTCTTGGTGTTGGGCATCCATGAAGCATCCCCCAGTATTTTGTTTTGGGAGTTGTGGTAGGCACCGGGCGCACAATCCACATAAGTGTCAACCGTTACCATATGACTACCTTTGTAAATCGAACTGTGCCACCGGAGTGGCCCCTGTTTGTATGGGACACCTATGTGGGCCAGGTGGGAGGGCTCTTTAGGGGCATCCATCTAGGTTTGTTAAGTGATGTGCTAATTGC